TGGAGGTATCTCCAATAGCTTCCACATTCCCTAAGGCCAGAGGCGTCTCCAGCACCTTCCACACTCCTTGGGGCTGGAGGCATCTCTAGCAGCTTCCACGCTTGTTCCTGCAGCTGGAAACATCTCCAGCACCTGCCATGTTCCTTCATTCCCCATCCTTTCCTATGCCTGGAGGCATCTCCAGCACCTTCCACACTCCTTGGGGCTGGGGACATCTGCAACACCTTCCACATTCCTTCCTAGGGCTGGAGGCATCTCCAGCACCTTCCATATTCCTTCCTAGGGATGGAGACATCTCTGACACCTTCCATATTCCTTCCTAAGGCTGGAGGCATCTCCAGGAGCTTCTGCACCCATCCACTAGCCCGGAGACATCTCAAGGCTCTTTTGCCACCATCTCCAGCGACCCCTCCAACTCCTTTTACAGCCCCCCCTGAGGCCTGGAGACATCTCCAACCCTTCCCACAACCACCTCCAGCCCCACCACCCATTCCAGCCGCCGGGCTCCCGCCACCCTGCTCCAGCCCCACCTCATACCTCCATCTTCTCCTCCTCAGGACCTGAAGATTAAGAACATGGGCTCGTGGGCAAGCTTGGTGCAGAAGCACCCCACCACGCCGTCCTCCACGGCCAAGTCCTCCAGCGACAGCTTCGAGCAGTTCAAGCGGGCGGCGCGGGAGAAGGAGGAGCGCGAGAAGGCGCTGAAGGCCCAGGCCGAGCAGGTGGAGCGCGAGAAGGAGCGGCTGCGGCGGGAGCAAGAGCGCATGAGGTGAGGGCGGCCTCTCCTGTCGGGGTGGCCTCCTCTGGTTCTTGGGTGCTACATGGGTCCTTGAGGTGCTACACAAGTCATTTGGGTCCTACACAAGTCTTTGAGGTGCTACACAAGTCATTCGGGTCCTACACAAGTCTTTGAGGTGCTACACAAGTCTTTGAGGTGCTGCACGAGTCCTCTGGGTGCTGCACGAGTCCTTGAGGTGCTACATGGGTCTTGAGGTGCTGCACAAGTTCTTTGGTTGCTACATGAGTCTTCGGGGTGGTAGATGGATCTTTGGGGTGATACACGGGTCCTCTGGGTGCACATGGGTGTTTGAGGTGCTACATGGGTGTCTGAGGTGCTACATGGGTCTTTGAGGTGCTGCACAAGTCTTTGAGGTGCTACACAAGTCATTTGGGTCCTACAAAAGTCTCTGAGGTGCTGCACAAGTCTCTGARGTGCTGCACAAGTYYYTGAGGTGCTACACGGGTCTTTGAGGTGCTGCACAAGTTCTTCGGGTGCTACATGGATCTTTGGGGTGCTACATGGATCTTTGGGGTGCTACATGGATCTTCGGGGTGCTACATGGGTCCTTGGCATGCTGCATGGGTCTTGGAGATGCCACATGGGTTCTTGGGGTGGTACACAGGTCTTGGAGATGCTACACGAGTCCTTGAGGTGCTGCACAAGTCCTCTGGGTGCTGCATGAGTCTGAGGTGCTACACAAGTAATTTGGGTCCTACACAAGTCTTTGAGGTGCTACACGGGTCCTTGGATGCTGCACAAGTCTTTGAGGTGCT